CCCACTCCATCTTGCTGCCGAGGGCGGCCACCTTGAAGTTATGGATGAACTGCTTGAACGTGGTGCTAATATTGATGCAAGAACTAAAGGCGCTTGTGGTTGTAAGTGTCATAAACTCACATTTTCTAATTTGTTGCTTTAACGTACTACCAAAAGTAAAAATTTGTGTTGTGGATAACTCTATGATCTAGTGAATGCATCAATTCAGAAAATTACACTTTAATTTAGCTTAATTTACTGTTTTTATTCTTCAAATATTGCCTTGATTTAAGTTTCAGCTCACATCAAGCACTTCATAACAATCAACTCTGTATGGTAGTATCTACCTAAACCCAGAAAAAAAATCCAACCTTATCTCTATTGGTGTAGGCAAAAGTTTAACCTACTAGTAAGCCCAACATTGCAGTTCTATTGTCTATCTGTCATGTGTCGTATGCCATTTTTCCTGTTATTTACTCTCTTGCCTTCAAGTAAACTGTTAAATATTTGATTACTAAGAATGTTTGAAAAATTCCAAGGTGATGGTCACAATTGATATGGATGTAGATTAGATTTTCAATTTTCATGTTGTGAATAATTGACGAAAATCAATTTGACATATACAAGACATGCTAATTCATGATGATTTCGCATTTATTCTGGTTAACATATAGTAGCAAAGTACACAATAATGAGTATTGATGGCCTGTTGGGGCAACATTGAATTGGTTGAATGGAATCTTGGTATTTGATATTGCAAAAATTGAAACTTGAGGATTTGATGTAAACACATACCAAGATGTAAGGTATTGAGTGATTACCCCTTATTTTTTGTTCTGCTTGCAAATCTTTCAGGGACACCACTTCATACAGCAGCCAAAGAAAGAAAGAAAGAAGCAGTCAAGTTTCTGATAGAGAATGGGGCATTTTTGCCGGATGACATCAACGATAGCCGATTTAATCCACCACTCCATTACTGCCCTGGTCTTGAATGGGCATATGAGGAGATGAAGCGTCTTCAAAGAGACAACTTATCAGCAGGGGAGACATCTTATAGCTCTGAAAGTCTATAATAACAACGGGCTTGTTGCTCTTGTGTTTGGAGTCTAGTGCTTTTATGTTTTTCTCTCAACTGTTGGCTAAAGTATGCTTGAGCCTGTACTCTATATTTGCTGTGTTGATTTTCAGAAGCCTGTGTGGTTTGCATATGATGCTAATAAAGTAGTTGACATGAATTTGATGGTTAATTGACCCTGTGAAACTATATTGTTAGAATTCAATATTTTTGTGTTTGTCAAGGCAAAAGTGCGGAAAATACATGCGCAATTGCATTAGCGTTCGCTTTGCAGTTGCAAACAACTTGCCAGATCAGAATGCTTCTGTACCTTCCAATTCTATTAAGATTAGAAAAGGTTGGCATAACGGATTTGGCACTTGAAAGTTTATTCTAGTCTTTTTATCTTGATGTATTGTTCATTTAGATTTTGTTTCTTTATTTTTAAAAGCATAGAAAAGGTGCTTTTTTTTAAGATGATAAATAGATTATGCTATAATTAGTATTATTATATTTTAATTATTTTTCCATGAATCAATTGGTGTATTGTTTTTTAAGCTTTTATTCTTGTTATATTAAAAACCATTCAAAAAATAAAAGTAAATAATAAAAGTACCAATAGAATGAAACCTTAAGACGTGAAGACATCCACTGTATATATTAAAAAGACAAAAACAAAAGAAAGAGGGAGACAGAAGCCAAAGTGTTGGACATGTAAATTATAGTCCTAGCTTAATTTTCCACAACATCATCATATTGGTAGTATGAAACAGGTGCATCTAAGTGCTGGAGACCGTTGGTTCAACGGTTCAACCACTTCCCCATATCGCATTATCTCAAAAATGGACAAATTTTCACTTTCTGCGCCAATACCGAAATTAATTACTTCCACTCATATTCAATAGAAATTTTCATGGCTCCGCATGGTTCCGTATTCCTTTGGGAATATACTAATAACCAAACAAGAACAAGCAATCTCAATGTCGTTTACAGCGCATTTTATACCAATATTCGACAATTTTTCACTTTCATCCTTAACAGAGAAAGTAAAAATCATTGAAAACAAATTTTCCCAAGTAAAAATGATTTCTCCAATAAAACACTAGTATAATAAAAGATCATCCCAAGTCCAAACCAGAGTAGACCGGGGCGCCGCCGGCTATAAAAAATCAGAACGGCTCATCCTGGGCAAGACATGAACCCCCAAGGGTTCCAACCCCGGCGGAGTCTCCACCACCCAAAATCTAGGCGGCGTTACCACCACATCGACGACTAAAATCTCTCCGTTACAGCAAACAACGCATAATCTTCCAGCAGCAGCAGCCATTTGGCGTGCCCCTATCAGCCTCTCCGATTCCATTATCTCCTCCCAATCAGTCGTATATTGGTCATACCTCGTGAGTACTCCCTTAGCCTCGTCCACCGCATATAGTACTTCCTCGTCCATGGCAGCTACTGGTCCTCTCCAGCCAGCCACCATGCCTTCCGGCATATCTTCCCATATGTCATTCTCCACGTCGTAAACAGACCCTTGTTTAGCCACGTTCACCATACATAGCTTCCTTCTCCAACCAACTGCGTCGATGGCGTCTCTGCTGAATCTCCCGTCTTTCAGTGGTCTCATCTTCTTCCATCTGGCGCCATTTATTTCATCATCCTCCAAGTCCCACCTCTCCAAAGACCTAGCTACGTCGG